GACTTGACTTACAGACTTTTTGACTTGAGAACCGCCTTCCAATACGGATTAAGTTCTCAAGTCAAGACCCCACTGTATGTTTACCGGAAATCTCAGCCTGAGTAATATGTATATATGTATATCCATTTAGTTGTTCCCCTTCCCTAGAGTCCTACAAAGATATCATCTCCTTTCTTCTTACCACTTAAGTAAAGTGGATGCCTAATCTGATCATCAAAGTTTCTTGTTGACATTCTGAAATAGTTCTGTTCTTAGCCTTCTGGTTTTATACCATGATCAAGAGGAAAGACGAATGCTAAGTTCCATTGGATTCCCCTGTTCAACCAACAGAAGTCCATCATTTGACCGTGCTCTAAATTACAATGAAGATGAACAACAATGACACACTGATACCTGATTATTAAAGGCAGGCTCAAAGGATTACTGGGGGTGTTGTTATCGGCTTCCTTGGCCTTCTAGATCTCGGTAGAAACAAGTGGGTTTTTTTGTAAAATGGAATAATAGGTCTTCTAGTTTAGAAATGCAATAAAATTGTCATTATTCAGGAAGAAACCTTATGTGATTGTCAAAATGCATTTTCGCACTCCAACAACAAAATACTCAAATCAATTCACTTCAAAAGATTTTTTTTAATTTAGAAATGCAGTTATATACATAGAACAATTGAAATTAAATTAAACTTTGTACAAATATTAAAATACTATCTTCACACCCACTGCAGTGTACAGGATACCAGAAAAAATATATACTGTATATGCAAAATAAAATAATGCAAAATAAAACTGATTGATTTCCTGGACAGCATTAATTATGGTATCTTAAAATCCCACATATATAAGAGTACCATTCTGCAATTAAATTCCATAGTGGTGCAACTCAGATTACAAACAGATAAAAAGCACTTGAAGGCAACCAGGTTCTCCCCATGTGTTTGCATCTCTAGCTACTTGCAGCCCGCCCACTGGGTAACAGAGGGTGTGCCTCTGTGTTGTCTCTGTATTTTGAAAGGACATCTGTTCTGAATTTCATAAAATTCCATGAAAAGCAAATCTTAGCAGTACACTTCTAGAAGAAATGGGCAGCCATCCTCACTCACTCATCAACCGAAAAGAAGTTGAAGTTTGTATATCCATTAAAATACAAATGTCTAATCATTCATCAAACATCGCACTGGAATCTTAAAATAAGTGACAGAGATGTTTAAGTTCAAAAGAATTAAAGAAGTATCTCAGGAACAAATCAGACCTAAAGGACTGAGGCATTTAAAATCAAGAGATCTGTAATACCACACAATACAAATCAAGCCAGTGAAAGATTCCTACCAAAAAAGTACAGTATATTGTTTGTGTATGTGTACGTGTGAGTGATGCCATTATAAAAGCAGTAATAAAGAAAACAAAGGGGAGAATCACACTTTCATGCAGAAGTCATTGCTTCTGTGTATAAATCAAGGCATACTACAGATGCAGTAAACACTATAAAGCATGAAGGAACTGCATGTCTCTCTACTTAGGGGGGCATGTAGTACACAAGTTCTAGACCTTGCTGCTTATCATGGGTCCCTGATATATGTCAATGTGCTTACAGGAGCACTATCCAGTGATCACCTCAAAGCCTCCCACATAAGGAGTACACTATCCTTGACTCCCAGCTAGTGCCCTGCACTTCTGAACAATACAAAAGTGCTTTATGAATATTGTAGACATATTTGAACTTATGGCAGAGTTATAATGGAGTGCATCCAGCAGAGAGAAGTGTGAATTCTACTTGACCGTACAGTAGTAAGATTAAAACTAATGTCTTTGTTATTGAAGTATTTCCATGCAAGAATGAATAACATTTACCAACTTGTATATGTGCTACTACTCTAGCACAATTAACATCTTTGGTTCTGGAGAACACAAGAGTAGTTTTAAATTACTTTAATAAGTATTGTGGTATTTAGTCATGTGTTTGTACCCTTGAAATGAGTACACACCAACAGTGACAACAGATTAAAAAATAGTCACTTGTGTCACTATAGTGATGCCTGGTATCTGAAACAAAAACAAATCTTTTGCCTAGAAAATGGTAAAGAATAATCATGGAGTGTACAGTAAGTTTTTTCAACTTCTAGACTTGGCAGCCCTTATACTCTATGGGGCTGGGCCTCCAAATAATTTAGAGGAGTGTGGAGGGATTAAGGTAGACTATTTACTTATAAAGAGCAAAGAAGAGCTGGGTCCAGAGAGCATAAAAAATTCAGTATGAGAAATGAGTTGGGTAAAATGAACACAGAACAAAGCAGAACATGCACAGCTTGTACCTGAGCATCCAGTACTGGTCAGTTTCCATTCTGTCCACTATTTTGTATCGTTTTTCCAATCTTTAAAGATGTCTAAAGCCTATTGCATTCATTTCATGAAAAATATCTCAGATTCTATCTTGTCTTCTCCAGCAGTTATCCAATGTCTCTGATGATAGTTGTGGCAGCAGCCATGTTAAGTCACACAGGGTGTAAGCCTGCTGCCTTGTGTCATTAGTTCCCAACCTTAGGTAACCCACGTATTATAATTCCCAGGGCTGCAGTCCCCAGAAGCCTTCACTGCTAGCTGTGATGGCCAGGGTTGCTGAGAGTTGCAGCCAGAGAACACTTGGGTTACCCCAAGGTTCAGAACCATTGTCTTATATAATCACATAAGAACAATTGACTGCACAAGAAATTCTACTTGTCAGGCTGTCCATCATGTGTGCAGTCATCCTGATTGAGCAAATGGCTCATGTGCCCAATCACATGACAGACAGCAGCCAAAAGGGGACAAGCACCCTTAGCCGCACAGTTTACCCCAACAGAATTTTGGCCAATAATTTAAAAATGATCATAGAGAAAAGAGAATATGGAACATGAATCACTCTCTATTAAGTGAGAACTCACCAAGAGTGTGCACCTCACTACCTGGCAAGCAGCCATCTGTATAAAGCCACAGGGGTGGGGTGGGCATACATTGTGTTTCTGTTAAACCAGAAGCTACCTTGCATTTATCATGAAGTGCAAAAGAACAAGAAAAGGGATTCTTCTCAATGATACAGCACATTGTGTATGCACTGAGGTTCACGTTCAGTGCCTAGTCTCATTTTCATGCATCCACACATCTGTGCAAACATCCACACACAAACATCAGAGCTGGGAAAAGCCTCTGTCAGTTTGGGCAAGTATCACTATGCTAATGGTCCAGCTAACTCTTATATTCAGTTAGCTTCACATGTTTGTCTGATCAACCAATATTCTGAATAAAATGTGAGAATGGGAAGTAGTCAATCATAAGTGTTATATATTTGTAGTTAAAGGGCCAGGTCAGCCTGAAGAAAGCTGCTGTTTCCTCCATCAAACACAATTTAGAGAATTTTACTTTTGCCAGACATGAAGTTTGGCGATGGAGTACTTGGCTCCCAGAGGTTGGAGCAGTCAACTATAGTATCAGGCACCTAACTGTCACTGTTGGGCCAGCTGAACTTCCAATTCAGACTGCCTTTTTAAAAGATATACCTAGTTGACTGTCCTATCTTTTCTATCTTTTATATTAAGAACACTTGCTTTGAGCATTATACCTCACAGCCCTTGCCTTCTACAAATTTGCTTGAGATTAAAAACCTGAGGATATGCAATTGTGAAAGGGAAAGAAGCCTACATTCTAAGCGTGGAAGGAGGGGATAACATTCTGTGTTTTTCCCTCAAATACCCAGTTTTACTGAAAAGAAAAACTGCCAATAAACCCCAAATGGGCAAGATTATAGCAATCGAGTTCTACAGCATCCCTTACTTGAACTATTCAAATGAAATATAAGTTCCAGAATGAAATAAGGCAAAATGATTTTTAAAATATCTGCTCAATGCTAATGTTCCCAGGGGGGAAAATGCTTGTTCACTGCATACTTAACAGCCAGATCTATCTTCTGCTTCATGGGATGCAACAATACTGCACAGGAATGAGGAACAGGAATTAATAGTGATCCCTTGGTCCATCCAATAAAAAGAAACGGACACCTGACTCATTTCCAATCTGTCCAAGGTCTTCAGCACTGCAACGTTCACTGTGTCCCAAGGGGGACAGATACTGCCCCAGTTACATTGTTCTTCATGAATTGTGCTCCCCAAGTGCTGGTGTGTAATTCTTGGTGTGTATTTCCCCAAACATACATGGCTTTGATGTGTGCTTGTATGTGTTTGTTTACTTGTAATACCACAGTGAGAAGTTTTGCACAATATTACATCACATTATATGCTGAACTAGGTATGTAGCTGCTCAATAACTAGGACTGTTTAAGTGTGAACAAGGTTTCCTAAAAAGTCAGGGCCATGTGAATATTCTGTAAGAAGAGTTATTGATACAAGGCACCAAAGCAAGTCAATTTTTGTGCCCAAGTCATGCTAGTAAAAGCATGCATTTTGGCATCTACTGGCTTACTCAGAATAATTTATTTTGCTTCTGCTAATCACAAATGTAATGAGCTTTGGAGAGTGCTGAATTCCTGCCCCAAATATTTTACTATGAGCCTTTTGGTTTCCAAGGTCTTACAAGATGCACATCCCACACATTTGGAAGGCCTGTAGGCTATCTTCACAAAGAAGCTACACAAATACCTTGACTCTATTCTTTTAAAATACAAGCTGTGGGGTTTTTTGGGGTGTGTGTGTGTGTGTGTGTGTGTGTGCTTACTACCTGCATGCACTGTGCATGACCTTGTGTAGAATTCAATGCCCATCCAAAGCAAGGGGACATATGCTGTTCCCTGATTAGATTTTGGTACCCTAAGTTTCCTCAAAAATAAGACCTAAACTGAAAATAAGCCCTAGTATGATTTTTCAGGATGCTCGTCATATAAGCCCTACCCCAAAAGTAAGCCTCAGTTAAGTGAAACCCCGCCCTCCACCACTGTGCAGCAACCAGAAGAAGATGACATGACTGTATTTGAATAAATGTATATTGTTGTACATTAAAAAAAATAAAACATCCCCTGAAAATAAGCCCTAATGCATTTTTAGAGCAAAAGTTAATATAAGACCCTGTCTTATTTTTGGGGAAACACGGTAGTATGCAAGTTGAACAAAAGACAAAGAATGGAAGACCCTACATGAAGCAGCAACAGCAGTACCACCATTTAGGAATAGTGGCTTCCCGCACTGCAGCTATATATATGATTCAGCATGGAGGCACTCCTAAATTTCTCCTTCATTTGACTATCTTAAGGACTGATAAGAGGTGGCAACTGATTTGCCTTGTTATTCTTGTAGAAATTGTTGCGAGGGAAGGGGACTCACACTGGGATGCTCACTAGGGAAAAAACTCTATGAATCTATAGTTCCAGGATGCTATCAAGAAATTATATGCTTTGTTCTTAGAGGGCCAGATAAACAAAAGCAAAAGTATACATGTGAGCAAAGATGGAGGTAAGCAAATGTGTTCCCTGCATAGTAAGACATTTTCAAGTGGAAGCAAAGCAAAATATATATATATGTATATATAAATAAAAATAGAGGCTGGGGAAATCTTCTGTCAGAGCAAATCAGCAGCATGGCTCTTTCCATTCAAAAAATTTAAGGCAGGCTATCACCACATTTCATTCAAGGCAAATTGGGCATGCCACTTATAAAAAGCTAGATACTTACTAATAGTGATCAATTTTTTAATGACTAGTATTCTAAGAAAACAAGGAAGACATAAGAAACACCCACTAGTTACTAAATGCCCTGGCACTGCCTGTACAAGGATGGGAACTAACGGAAGCCACAAAATGAAGCAGAAATTCCAAAATTACTTTTTTTGTTATGGTAGGTTAGAGCAAAGGCGCAATTATGTGTGATGATCTCTACACACTGTAAAGCCTTTCCAAAGCCAAAGAACTCAGACTGGAAGATGGAAGGCTTTGGATCAACTATGGCACAGCCATAGTATTGCTAACAGAGTAGCTCCTCTAGGAGGAAGGACACTCTTTCTCCACATGGGCTTGCCCATGCAGGTAATCTTAAAACCTGACCAAATTCCTCAAAGCTTCAAGACAGCCCTAGATTTATCCCACATCATGTTCAGAAAAGAATGTCCTTGATGAACAAAATAGAGAGGACAGGTTTTTTTTTAAGTGGAAGCTTACTGAGGTACAGACACTTCATCCCAACAGAGGTACTTCCCCTTCACCCCTTCTTTGGGACACAAAAGCGAATAGCAGCCTAAGATTGCCATTTAAGGCTTGCTTTTAAGTCAGCCAGATGCAATTGCCTGAAACACAGCCAGTGTTGCCTAATGTGCTCATGTGCAGCTACATTATGTAGTATACAGTTTCAAAACCCATGAGGGCTGCAGTATGTGTGTGCAACTCTCAATGGACTCCCCAAGTTCACCATCCACAGGAAGTCTGTCTTGCCTTCGTAACATGGTGAATAAATGGAAGTAAACTATCTGCACTTAACAAAAGCAAGCTGTTTTTCCCTGCTTTCTGAGCAGAGGTCCAGAAGCTAGTAAGGCCCATGAGAAGCTGCAACAAGCCAGTGTGAAGAGGAGCAAGGCACAAGTAAAGAGCAGCTCTCCAGAGACCACACTCAAACATCCGGCTGGGGGAGGAGGAGGGTGAAGAAGGAACTCAAGTCCACTAACATCGTTGATGCCGCCCATATATGCAGAAAGAATTGGGAGGGGGGTCTGGCACCCTGTACACTCCATCAAGGAGGCATCCTGGCAGAATCCTTTGGATCTTCAGCTACAGGGTGTGTTTGCTTGGAGGTACTCTGAGCACAGTGCGCGGGAGCTGGGGAGAAGCCTGCACAGAGTGCTTATCATCCCAAGAAGAACATGGAGAGAAGCCAGACCAAAGCTTTGAGCCTCATGCTTCTTTCAGCAGTGGGATATCTGGGTTGAGAGAGAGGGAACAGAAAAGGATTGTTTAAACATTCATGTTTACCTTTCTTGTGTTGAAAGCTTTTTGTCACACCTCAGTTTTTTTTAATTAAACCAGACCAATTTCCCACAAAAGGTGGATATTCTTGAAAGCCTGAATTAGTGATGATTTTCCTACCTTTTTCCTAAGGAAATACCACATGTCTGTTGAGGACTTTCTTGTATTGAGAAGAAGATACCAAAGCTTATCCATCCCTCTAAGACTTTCAGTTTTTAGCTTTTTGTATTTTACCTTTTTTTGTATTAAGCTGCTTTTTGAAGCGGGAGGGGGGAAGGGGCTCCAGAATGCAGTGTTCATACAAGAAATGATCAATATTCTACCTGACCCATAAAAATTTCTGAACTTACCATTTACATCAAAATATAATGCAAGTTCCACAAGTAAAACAAATTCTAAAGCTTTCATGTATTTTACTAACTTGATGGAGTTTCTTAGTACATAAAAAAATGGGGGTGGGGATCTTGTTTGTATGACAATTTTTTTGTCAGAGGCCTCAAAGCAGAAATGCATTGTATTCTAATGCCCAGAACTGCTCTCCGGCAGCATCCACCTATGATCAATATCCTCTTGTGTGGTTATTTGTTTTATTTTATTTATTTAAAATATTTTTGCCCTGCCTTTCTCCTAAGAAAGGACTCAAGGGGTCCATACGTCATTAAATAAACAATATTAAAAGCTAAAAACAGTAAATGATTCAGATATTAAAAATAATTAATAATATGTTAAAATATTAGGTAAAAGAAAGACTAAAGCATATTTAGAAAAATCAAAATACAAACCATCTCATTAAAAAACCATCCTAGATAGTCAGCCACTGAGGAAAAGCCTGTCTAAAGAGAAAGGTCTTTGCCTCCTTTCAGAAGGACTGCAAAGATGGGGCCAGTTTGGCCTCCTGTGGGAGGGAGTTCCAAAGTCTGGGAGCAGCCACAGAGAAGGCCCTCTCCTATATCCCCACCAAACACACTTGTCAAGGTGGTGGGACTGAGAGAAAGGCCTGCCCTGATTATCTTAACACCTGGCCAGGCTCAAAAAGGGAGATATGGTCCTTCAGATAGCTTGGACACAAGCTGTTTAAGGCTTTATATATTAAAACCAGCACTTTGTATTGACAACCACCAGAGCTGCTGGAACAGGGGCATTATGCGATCCCTGTAACCAATCCTAGTCAGCATTCTGGTTGTAGAATGTTGGACCCCCTGAAGTTTCTGAAAACTATCCAAAGTCAGATCTGCGTAGAGTGCATTACAGTAATCCAGCTGGGATGTAACTAAGCCATGTGTCTTCTTGCATTAGTTTTAATTGTACAAAGGTACTTTCGGTCACTGCTGAAACGAGGGCATCAGAGATGAATCCAGGAACAACTCCCAAACTGCACACCTGTGTTTTCAGAGAGAGAGTGTAACCCCATCCAGCATAGGCTGCATTCTTATTCCTTACTCTGCCTTTGGCTGACCAAGAACACCTGTCTTGTCTGGACTGAGTTTGAGTTTACTTATCCTCATCCAGTCCATTTCTGACACCTGACGCTGATCTAGAGCCAAAATAGCTTCCTTGCATTTAGATGGCAAGGCGAGATAGAGCTAGGTATCATCTGCATACTGGTGATACCAAACCCCAAAGCTCCAGACCCCCCTCAATGGTTTCATGTATATGTTAAATAGCATATGGTTATGCCAGAACAGTGCTAAAAGTGTAACTTTAGGAAGCAAATTGCCTCAAGAGAAAAAGTCACCACAGACATGAGTTGCTAACTACATGAAATAACATCTATGGTGATTTCTTAACTTCAGGCAATTTGCTTTCAAATGTCATGTTGCTAACATTATGCCATCATAACTACATAAAAAGATTTTGGCCTATCACACTCAGAATTGCTCTGAGAGTTGTAGTCCAACACACATAGAGAGCACTGGATTGGTGAAGACTGAGCTATCCATTTCCCATTGTTTAGAACATTGTCCTAACTATGCTGTAGAAAGAAGGGACAGAAGAATGTTAGAATACTTTTATCCTGTATCTTCTGTTGACCCTTACAGGTATTTTATCGGAAGAGCACATGGAAATTCAGATTTATTGATACTTTCATTGTAATTTGCAGGTTATAGGTGATAATTATTTTGCATACCATCAGTGTACTCCTCTGAGGAAGCTAGTGACAGAAGGCTTTGCACATCACTGCTCTCGGAGTCTGGAGCCTCTTTGTGTCTGGGCTGACTACTTGACCTTCCAGCCACCCAGGAGGATGTGGTGGCCTGATGCACTAAAATAGCCTCAGAGTGGTAAGAGCTGCCGGCTTCACACAGTCCAGAGTGTCCAGGGACTTCATCCTCCCCAGCGAAACAGTTATGGTGCCCCATGTGGTCTGACGGTGGCTGTTGCACCTCCCCTGCTGCGCTCTGCTCCGCTCCTTCTGAAAGGACAATCTGTACCCGTGAATCCGAGGGAGGTATGCAGTTCCCAGCACTGCCGTAGACAGCTTCTTCGTAAGATGGCAAAGCAACCTGAACGCCATCAACCATGATGGAAACCTGATCCCCAGAAACACCTTGATCACGCCTGTGTTTGGATTTTAAAAGGGGAAAAAAATAACACCACATAATGATTTATTTATTTATTTATTTATTTATTTCATTTCTATCCCGCCTATCTGGCCAGATTCGACCACTCTAGGACCACTCTCAGGTACACAAAAGCATTTTACACAGCATGGCACTAGCAGAGGTCTTAGATCCAATGCACCTTCAGATACTCATTCAATCTTCCCTACAGCCTTGTTAAGATGCACTACATCAGGTGTATCCTTATCTCAGTCACTAGTAACCACACTATTATGGTTATATTGACAACATACTGTACTGCTATTTAGCAATGTGACTTCAGTTGTCTTTTAGCAGCACTAAGGTAAATCAAGAGGATTCACTGGTAAATCTCTGTGTGCTCTGCTTCATATCAGCTAGAGAGAAACCCTCATGCATGTCTACCCCATTACATCATATGCTAATGCATACTACTAGGGATGGGACTTTTGGAATTCTAGGACCTCCAGTCCCAGAAGTCACCTAGAATTCCCCTAGGCACACTTCTGAGACAGGAGAAACCAGAAGGCAAAAGAGATGTCCTCCTATCACCATTGTCTACTTCTCCTACAGAGCAATGTTCTCTCTAAGCTAGGCACGTGCACCTCTGCTTCCCTCTGTGCAGCTGCCTTCCTCTTCTGCGCAGTGATTGCATTAGGTTCCAGTCGCAATCAAACTCTACATGTGCGGGGGGTGGAGTCACGAATATGCAGGAGAAAAGTTGCATGTGTGAGAGGTGGAGCCCTGCCCAGCAGAGCTGGAAGTTCAGAGGGTATACTGGTAGCAAGGCTACCTTTCTCAAAGAGCACTGAGGAATCTCCTAGAAGCCTTGTCCATACAGGGTAAGGTTCTGGAAGTTGATGACCAGAATATCTGGCGAACCAAAGATTCTGTACCTTTGACCAATTATTGGACAGGATAGGCAAATTTACTTTTCTGGGTTTACAAGTCAGAAAGTATCCTAGCCAGCATGGCTAGCAGGTCTGGAAACTATTGTCCAATTCAGGAACTTCTCCCCCTTTTCATGTGAACTGAGTAGGAACATAATGACTCAGCACAGCCCACAGTTACTGGCAGACAGCAGTAGACAATGAAGAGTTCTCAGCCTACCCAGACACTTGTTTCATCCTACTCCTACCACATTCACATTTTAAAAATTAACAACAGAAGCAAGACATGAGAATGATTTTTAAATGCCAGGCTGAAGCAGGGATATAAGCTTTTACAATACTGAATTCACAGTTTGAGACAACAATGTCAGTATAATTAGAGAAAAGCTGAGAAAGGCACACATGCCCATTCATTTCTTTCTCTTCCTTTTTTTCTTTTCTGGTTCACTATTAAAAAAGAAAGAGAAATGGTTTCACCAGAGCACAGAGTGCTGTCCTCTGAAGATGCCGGCCACAGAGACTGGCGAAACGTTAGGAAGAACAACCTTCAGAACACGGCCAAAGATCCCGAAAAACCCACAACCACCATTAGAAATGGTGTCTGTTTACATGAAAAACTGGTGTGTGTAAAAGTTAGAACAGCAGATGGGTCAGGACTAGAGATGGGGTATTCGTATTTGTATACCCCCGCACAGGTGGAAATAACGAGGGTCCGGTCCCATCGGACACTTCCCATTGCGCCATTGTCTGCAATCGATTACCCAGTCCTGGCAGGAGACAGGATGACAAGTCTCTCTGCTAGGTCGGAGAGTGGCTAATCCATTGTGGAGAACATCGCGACAGGAAGCCTCCACAGAGCCGGCAGCATTATTTCCACCTGTGCGTGGATATTCATATAGAAATACCCCCATCTCTAGTCAGGACTGCTACACAGATTATGAATGAAGAAACAAAGCAATGCCTTGTTAATATGGGCCCTCACTACCAACATGCATGTATGCATGTATGCATGTATGCATGCATGCATGCATGCATGCATGTATGCATGCATGCATACATACATACATACATACATACATCCATACATAGATACATACATACATACATGTAAGCCCTCTCATGCTTCAGATATAAGTTTAGCAGTGGGTTGCAAGGGGTAAGTCATACCTATTTTTAGTATCTGAGATCTCTGCTATTCAAATATGTAGACTAATAGAAGAACAAGAAAGTATTCCCTTCTCTCTCAAAAGAATCTTGCCCACACTTGGGAGAGGCTTTTGCCATCTGAAATACATGAAACCCTAATGCAATCTTGACACCACTGTTTTTCCAGCTCCTCAAAGGCAATGAAAACAGGCCATACCACAGAATAGTTAAGCTGTCTAGGCTTCATAATTATTCACAGTGGTGCAGACCTATTTCAACATCCTTTTTCCAAGTAACAAAAACTGATTATTTGCTTAACAGAACAAAGATGAGTTCCACAGGAATGGAGGAAAAACAGTCCGAGAGATGAACAAAGAGTAAAAAGGAATAAAAGGAGGACATGTCAGGCTTCTCATAAATATTTATGTGCAAAAACATCTGTCCTCTAGTTGATCCTCAAACCGCCTATGAACTCACCTGCTGTGATGAAAGGACTTCAGCTTTGGCTGCAGCAAAACGAACAGTACAACTAGCAGAAGGACAAGAGCTACTGAACTTGCTGTGGAAGCTACTATTGATAAGGTGGGCACGCCCACACTTGGAGGAGAATCTTTATCTGTAAAGCCAAAGCAAGAAGATATATTTAAAATTGTTTTTGCTAAGGAAGCAGCTTTCCCTGATTAAATCAGGCTCCTTAATAAACTGGGTTGCAGAGGCAAACAGAACTACTGACTTCACCTGGCCAACTTTGTTCCAGTCAGCACTATGTGGAATTTTCCCGGGTGATGGCTGCTCCAATGCATTCATATACACATGACAGACTGCATCTGGCAGTCAACTGCACTGACTCCAACACAATTCCCAGACAACCTTGGTCTTTTTCTGTGTTGAGCCAATTCAGTCTGTTGAATCCAAGCCAAAATTACAAAGAAACAGCTTCGAAGTTCATTTTATCCCAGGGAAACAAGGAGCAGAGTTTTCATTTTGTCTATGTTTGTATGAATGAGTCACCATCTCACGCAACATATTGGCAAAATGTTTTGGAACTCTTAAGAGTAGACACCAAGTATCAAGCCAGAACTTGAAAAGTAGGGAAACTCCAGCATTCCCTATACCATTAATGCACTCTTCTTTCAGGACAAAACAAACATACCTTCCTTCCCTTGAATGTTCTTAAACTACACACATTAAATATACCATTCCTTCCAGCTTTCAGGTGGTTTTGTTTTTCTTCACACAGATTTATGTTCAAGTACACATACTTTCTCTCCATGCTCCAATACATCATGATCAATTAAAGCTACATGACAAACAATTTCCTGCAGACGTTTTTGGCCTTCTATCATAGGAAAGGAATTCTTAAGCAACTGGTGGAAAGCTTTGCAAGACACAAATGCTGAGCAGCTTTTGAAAATGTTCTTTTCAAGAAAGGCAGAACACACTCCTTGCTACAGAGTCTTAAAACTTCCCTAGACTTTAAAATTCACGTATCTTATTGTCTGGATATTTTACAACTGGATATTTTGCAATGTCTAGAGAACCGTAACATATAACTATATAGATCAGAGGTAGGAGACATGAACTTGGTCAATAAAAAAAGATCATGCAGAAGTATCCTGTAATACCCCTTTACAATATTAAATTGGTGGAAATAATATTTATTCTTTGGAAGTAACTGTGAAAACTGTTGTGGAGGTATGCATGCAAACATGAGATCTCAAGCAGCATTTTCCTGGGTTCCATAGGTTAAGACTTAATATAACAAAAGTTTACACTGAAAAGGTATGCCCTTGGAGAAGATTAACCCAATGTATTTGCTGAAATCTAACTACGTAATAGTTTATATCCTAGTATTGAAGAGCAGTTGGCAGGACTTCTGGATGGGGTAAAAACAGTGAGCATATTCATGCTGAGGCATAACTGACCTTGGCTGAGCCTACAGGTAACCTCCATGTCTGGGTTCCATTTTCCATTCTTGCAGGTCAAATATTTGTAGTCACCCTTGAGCAGGTAGCCTTCTGCACATAAATATTCTATGACGCTATCAGATGTCAGTGGGTCTTTACATGGAGCTGGATGGCATCTGTACCCTCCATTTTCTGGCTCAGGTGGCTGTGGACAGACTGAAAGAAATAACAGACTCTATAATACAAACACTGCAAAAGAAGAAAGAGGATGGCAATGCTTTGAGAGCAAATAGGAAATAAATCAGGTGCTGTCTGCTACGGTAAGATATGAGTGCTCCTGAGACATGCAACAAAACAGTACAACAAAGAGGATATGTCACCTTTAACACTAACAGTTTCTAGCATAAGGTTTCATGAGTAGTAATCCTTGAAAGCGTGGACTAAATATATTAAATATCTTAAACTTAGAAGTGACATTAAACTTTTTAATACTTTTTAATATTTATATTTATTACTTTCAAAACTGATATAACAGAGCTGGCACTGAGCTAGAAAATCATGGCTGGGGAGATGGGCACCAATTCCCATCCTTAAAATACCCTGCTACTACATTCTGCTTCCATGGGCACCATTTTCTCCTTGCCCCCTGCTAAATTCACAACTGAGCAGTCAGGCAGCACCCCTTCAGGTCCTCCAGTTGCTAACTCCTAGTCTGCAGCCAATATTTGAGATAATCTGTGTGTGATCAGAATCTTAACTCATTTTCATTTAATTGTGATTATAGCTCCCCAGGTATGACAACATTCCCCCTTTCAAAGGAGTGAAAAGGCAGGGTACAAGAGAAATTGATGGTAACTGACAAGTATGGTATGTGGTAAAGTTGTGGTTTTACCACTCATTTATTCCTTCACTCACAGATTTTATTGCTGGACATATGTATGAAGTACCATTCAAACCACAAGTCCCTTAAGTCACCAGATAGCTATTCAGTGAAGGAAGCACTAATTTCAATGGCAGGTAATTCATCAATGCATGGCCTCATATTTTTACTACAACAATTCAAAATGTTCTGTTTATGAACTAAGATCTACTAGATATTGATTGGCATTTGTCACATGTATTCAGGCCTTCATTCAAGGAATGTCAGTCTCAAAACTATTCCGTGAAGTGTCATGCCCGACCAACGTGTTTCCAGGCTCAGCAGAAATCTGAATTTGCTGCTGCTCTGCCATAGCTGAGTATGCACACGTATCTTGAACTCCACAAAGTGCAAAGAACAAATAAAGAACATGTTTATAAGCCTTTTTGAGGGCAAATTACAGCTGACAATGTAAGCGTTAAGCTCACTTCTGTGATAATTTCCACTTTTAGAAATACACACAAAGGCTTTGCTGCATGGATTCATATGCAATTTGTACTCTGCCCCTCAGAGAGCCATATATACAAATGGCTTGACCAACTTATTTTGTGAATAGCCCAAAGTATGCCACAGCTGAACATTTTCCTTTCAAGCCAAAATAAGTTCCATTGATACAAAGACAGGAGCAAGAACAGCAGCAGTTCATAAACCCAGCTACTTCTAGCAGTTTGTCCTAACCTGCTGCTCAGGCAAGGAAACAAAATTGTTCTGTAAGCCACGCTGGGTCCCAATTCGGGGGAAAGGCGGTATATAAATGAAATGAAATGACATAACATTAAAGGACATAGTAGCTTTGTTAAAGTTTATACTGATACAAGATTTTTTCTGTTTTTGTTATAAATTTGTAAGTCCTCATTTCATTTTCCACAATATGTTGAATTTTAGCTGAAGGAATGCAAGTTTGAGAATTCCTACCCTGTATTTTATGTTAATGTTTATGTTGTAGTTTAAGAAAAAATAAAAAAACAAAACATTATATAATAGAGAATTCCTACCCTGAACAATATGTGGCCTTATTGTCCCCTCACGCCAACCTCAAATAGTAGATGCTTTCATCAGCATCCTGTGTTGAAGATCAAGTACCCCTAAGCATGCTAGCAAATGGATTACTACATCCCAGAAGGTCAATTTCCAGAAAGCATCTGTGCAGACGTATCGTAATATTGAAGTTGTGAAAGCTCATACAACATAGAGATTCATCTATCAACCTCAGATTCATCTATCAAATTTCAAAGACTTATATTTGTAATCCACAGATTCATCTAGCTATTTACTTTTATACACACACACAAACGCACATTCAGGAGAAAAGCAGCATAAGTTTTAGTCTCTGTTGCACATTTAAAGGAATGTTTCACTTAAAAGAATTCACTTAATTCTGAATGTTAATGAATTCATAGTAAAGAAACAAGCAGCTTTTTTGTTCCTTTCTGGCTTTTTAAATATATTATGAAGTCATTATTGGTAAATTACTGTTTCTCTGTCAAGGATGCATTTTGAAGAGGGCTCTACTTTTGATAAACTAGAAAGGATCATAGTCAAGAAGGGGATTTGTCTGTATAATCATAGTTCTACATTTATGTAATTAGATGTAAGCACTTACAGTGTAAAGTATGCCCAGTCATTTCAGATTTCCTGAAAGCTTTTTAAATAAAAGAAACCAAAAAGGGGAATAAAGACTAATTACAGGCTTCCACTAACACAGTCGCCAGCTGGTGAGTCATAAAAAACACAAATGTGAATTATCTTAATTAACATGCATCAACACTAGAAATATCACATGGTTATTAAGCCTCTGCCATGATTAACAAGTTACGGAGGAAGAATGCCAGTACCACCAAGATTAGCAACATTCAAAAATTTTCTGTTAAAAATATTGTTTTGTAACACGTTCTAATTGCTGATCAAACCAGTCCTTCAATAGCTTTATGAGAAACAAAACTTATTTGTCAACAAGCTAAAGAATGTTACATCAATTCCCTTCAAATTTTGATTGCTTCACATATGCCCATGATTACGGAAAAAGCTGCATCCCATTCATCCTTTCAAATGAAAACAAAAAAAATTCAACGTATTTGTAGTCTGCTATTGATCAACTAGCCATCAACACTATGATCTGTGGGCCTTCTGAATATTTTATTTACATATTGATACAGTAGGATCCCCATATCCACAGGATCAGCATCCATAGTTTCAGTTATCCACGGTCTGAAAATATTAAAATACCAAAAGAAAAATATCTAGAAAAAAACTACTATCATGTGCATTACCATAACTGGCCACCTGATGGAGCCATATATCGTGCTATGAATACTTATTAGTGAAGAATACATAGCATGATCACTGGCACCCTATAGTGGCCAGTTCTGGTAATGCATGTGATTTTTTTCTTTTTTCTCCCTTTTCTCATCTATATAGTGTTTGCCATTACTCATGGTTTTCAGTATCCACAGGGGCCCATGGAGCCAATCTCCAGTGGATATGGGGTTCTACTGTATATCACAGTAACATATTACGAAGTAGCCACTTCCAAGGCTGAGAAACTACAACCAAACAGAACTGTTGTTAATCCAAGTGGACAGATGGTGGGCAGACTAGATCAAGATCTAGCAGATCTTTGAGCGATTTGTACTGAACCAGTAGACATTTCAGACTCCACAAAGTACTGAACAGACAAAGTTCCTACTCAAATTAGGCTGCTGAAATGAAAAATACCTGAGAAGAAACTAGGAATCTGTTAGTGGATGAAAAGTCTTGGAAGTTAAGTTCTGGTACTGAAAACACATTATTTGCCTATATATGTACTCAGAGATTTCCTAATTCCTTAATCGTAAGAGTTTATCTGATTTCTAAGCCACCATTTTTTCCCCGTCTGTACCTAGTTGCTCTAACAAACAACAAAAATAACAATGGTAGATCCTGCAGGACCGAAGTCTCCCTGGAGGAGAAAATGCAGGGCTAACTAAACAAATTGTTTGGCTCTATAAAAGACAATTTCATATGCAGAGCAAAATAAAAACGTTTTTATAAAAACGTTGTTTTCAACAGAATATCTCTACTTCATGGAGTTCCTCAGGGCTGGATACTGTCCACCATGCTGTTTAACATCTGCATGGAACCACTGGGAGAGGTTATCAGGAGGTTTGGGCTGAGGAGTCAGCAATATGCTGACGATACTCAGCTCTATCTCTCGTTTTCCACCAATCCAGGTGACGCGGTTTCTGTGCTGAACTCGTGTCTGGACCTAATAATGGACTGGATGAGGGTTAATAAATTGAAACTCAATCCAGACAAGATGGAAGTGCTGTTAGTGGGTGCTTCATCGGACAGGCTGGAGGGCCATTTCCCTGTCCTGAATGGGGTTACACTCCCCCTAAGGGACAGGGGCTGCAGCCTGGGGGGGTTCCTGAACCCCAGTCTAACTCTGGAAGCCCAGGTGGACTCCTTCAGCTGCAGAAATTATATCAGCTATGGCCCTACCTGGACAAGCGGAATCTCATGAGTTACACGCTTGCTGGCATGATCTCACTGGACAAGCGGAATCTCATGACAGTTACACGCTCGCTGGCATGATCTCATAGATTACTGCAATGCGCTCTATGTGGGGCTGCCTTTGAAGACGGTCAGGTGATTGCAACTGGTCCAGAATCAAGCTGCATGGCTGGTGAGTGGTGGGACCGCTAGGGGACATATCAAGCCGATTCTGTTTAAATTACATTGGCTACCAGTTGCTGCCCGGGCCCAATTCAAACTGCTTGTTTTGACATACAAAGCCCTAAATGGTTTGGGTCCGAGATACCTGAAGGACCGCCTCCTTCCATATGAACCTACCCGGCAGTTAAGATCTAGCCAGGGGGCCCTTTTGAAAGAGCCGTCCCTCAAGGAAGTAAGAGGGATGGCTTGTAGACAAAGGGCCTTTTCGGCAGCTACCCCCATACTATGGAACGCCATCCCGAGATTCGTCTGGCGCCAACGTTGATGACATTTCAGCACCAGGTCAAAACCTTCCTGTTCCAGAAGACTTTTAATTGAAATAATATCACCTGTGGGTCCTGACGGCAATTTTTAGAGTATATGTTTTAATTGTATTTTAATTGTTTTATCTTTTTAATTGTATTTTAATTGTTGTAAGCCGCCCAGAGGCCTTTGGGTAGAGTGGGTGGCATGTAAGTTAAATAAATAAATAAATCTTTAACTAAATCATCTCCTGCGGCTGCCACTGCCTTATACAAACCTTTAATCCACAAAATCCCATATGGGTTACTTTAAAAATAATAATTATACCTCTTCTTTTCTT